CCCCGCCATAACGCTCTCTATGAGCAAAACGTGCTTATGTTTGTATTTGTATTTAAAAAAATGGCGCAATAATAATCAATTGTCAATTTCGTCATTAAATACTGCACTAAATACAAAATAAATAGCACCATTAAATTTCTTATTAAAAAAACTGGTTATTATGAAGTTATTTTAAAATTTGTAAGTTCAACCGTTTGGTTTCCTATAGCGAAAAAATAAACAAACTTCCTCTTTTATATACATAGATTAGTAATCTACAGTATTGTATGTTCTGTGAGCTATAGACATTATGCAGTCACGTGACCAAAGTAAACACGGCAACAATTTGCTGCCATATTTAACGTAGACATTAGTCGTGAAAACATGGCCTCCGGGCCTCCCCTACACAATCACCTAGTTCTCCGTTCATTTTTCACGAATTTACTAGCAAAATAGACAATATATGCAAATCGAGATATGGTGAAAATGCAGAAAAGTCGGTCTTGACACGACATATCCTTATTCCATCCCGTCAGCATTGGTAATCGCGCTAGATGCCAGTAAATTAGTCGTCATTGTAAACAGAGGACCCGAATTAGGGCTACAAACCAATGTTAAAATCCCACAGGAAAGCAGTTCAAGGCCTATAAAACCCTTGATACTTACAAGTATTTTGTGGCCCACTGGGTGCACGATGTGAGACTGTGGAAAGTGTACAAGACGTGAAACTATATATACCTTACTCGAGGTTAAGTCGAAGTTGGTTTTAGTGACTAGGCCTATTGTTTATGTTCAATCAGTGGCAAATTTATAATCTAGATGTACTACATCGTATTGTATCGTATTGTTAGGGTCTGCACGTTTTACTGCCGCAGAACATTTAACTCTACATACTGGATCTTTTGGAAACCTGTAAAACGGTAACTCCGGATTCTTTGTCTTGTTGTTTGTACAACTAACTGCCGCACAACTGATTGTCATTTCAAATACTCGATCCCAAATTCCAATACCAGCAACTACACTGTGATTACTAGATTGTTTCTCTGCTACGATCAAAATGGCGGTGTTTACTTTTCGGTTTGCCGGTAATATACGCATGACGTCACGCGCATATGGTCCATATTTTGTAAATTGAATATATTGGCGGTATTAGGCAGTGGTATAAACCTTAAATGTTCTACGAGATCATGTCTCACTGTTAGATACGAAACACGATATAGAAATAAAACTGTTATCCCACAACTAGCTGTTTCAAAACTTCAGTATGTGCATATGGAGAAAATGAGAGAGGTAAAGACAAATGTTAAAAGAATGAAACTACAGAAGCTTCTTGAATGTGTTTGAGACAGCTTTCGTGTCTAAAATGATTTCTTCTGATTTTTGCATGGTTCTTGATAAGACATTTGGTTTTTTTTGGTAGTAAATCTTATTTTAAGAAAAAGGCGTTTCTGGTTATTGAAAAACTTGGAGTGTTTATAAGGAAAAATTAATCATGAACTTATATAATGCTTCATTGTGTTTGTAAGTTATAATTGTGCAATTATGAATACTTTATGCCCTAGAAATTAACATGTGCGACAACTCTAAAAATAGCTTTTTAGGTCCTCCGTACCCTTCTTTCATGAACTATTCTAAAACTCTGCAGCAACATATTATAGTTAAACTAGCTGTGTACCCGTCCTTCGTACGGGTTGTGTGTGTAAATAATACATTAATTTAACAAACAAATTACTTGTACATTATTTACATTACATTTTACATTGTACATTATTATAACAATTAAATATAAGTTAACAAAAAATGCTATGGACCATGTGTTAACTGCGTCACTTAGAAAAAACGGAAAATGTCAAATTGTGATGAGTTGTACTTGTGTGTTTGTAGTGTATCACACATCTGTGAAAAAATTAGTTTTATTTACCAAAGAGCCTATTGATAGACGACATTGGAAGTACGTCCACCTGGGGCATGGATAAATAGGCTGCGAGAAGATCTGACTCTTGAGCAGGCTACATATAGTTTTTAAACTCCAATGATAGTGTTCATAAAAAAGAAAAAAATATAAGAAAGAACGCAGCTCGCGAGTCAAGCGCAAAAGAGCAATGCCGAGTGGACGGGCGAGCGACCCTTAGCAAAGAAATACTTCTTTGAAAGAAATATAACCTTAAAAGCAATAAATAATGCCAAAACATAAACAAAATAAAGCACAGACAGCTGGAGTTTCGCAACAAATTTTTGCAGAAGTTGTTTTCTTTCCAACAAAGAGCTCCAACATAGAGATAATAAACATTGTTTTGAAAATTTTACATTGTATTCACTGTTACTGTGGTAATCATTAAAACAAAAAAATGTCCATAAGAATAAAATTGGAACTTTGAAGACCCGTGGGGCGGAGCCCTAAGGTGAATTCCAAAAATCCAAGTAGCCTATAACCTTATTACACATCTATAAAACAAAGAAAAAAGTTTCATCGAAAACGGTGCACTCTTTTTCCCGTGAAAAGCGAACAAAAACACGTCCGCGAGCGTTACCGACAGACAAACAGACAGACAGAAATTGAGATGAGGCTTGTTTCGGCTTCTCTGGTGTGTGAAACGTGAAGATATGCAAAAGTACACTATTCTAAGCAATGTACAGACAAAACTCTTTATTTTATTTATGTAGAATATATACATTATTTGATTTGAAGTAACGACCATGCTATAGCATGTAATGGTCCATCTTTATATTAGTTTGAATTAACCACCACTAATGATGTCAATCAATTTTTTGTTGATCTAATGATCAGACAGTTAAACATACTTTGATCATGCAGCAGTATGTAATGGCCAAACATTGCACGACCCCATCTAATAGCATTGCAGAAGTACCTAAGGATCAAATATAAATATTTATCTTGTTGACCATGCAGACATATATAACTTACCTTATGTCGTGTGTTAAAGAGTCGTTTACTGTGCACTGATCGCCATCTGGCAACAGTTATAATTGTTAGTCTTGTAATACCAAACTTACACTTTAAGAATAAAAATTAATTTATATTTCAAGATTGTTTACTTAAGTTCTCTATTGACTGCTTGGTACCAGAGTTTTAGAAGTATCGCAACTTTAACGACAATTTTACACTGTCTCTGTGTTTATTCTGGCTTGTTGAATAGTAGTGAGTGGCCCTTTTCGGAGTTACATGAGAAAACAGGATTGTCAACAACTCTTAATTGCATTTGATTAATGCGACTTGCGAGCATGAATGGATTAACGAGATTCCCACTGTCCCTATCTACTATCTAGCGAAATCACAGCCAAGGGAACGGGCTTGGAAAAATCAGCGATGTTGTAATATAATTCAGTTCTGTTGGTGATTTATAACAAAAGAATGCCATCTGGTGTCTGCCTTTAAACTAGTATAATGTAGTATACCGAATATCTTACATTTTGTAGTTAGAAGCCACTTCTGAATTGTGAGTAGTACCCCACGTATTTGTTTTTCTGCGAATTTCCTCCTTTATGTTTTCTTTGAAGTAATATTTCTTTTCAACCTTATCCAGCCACGTTTGAGACCAATTTTATCTGCAAGTAAAATTCATGAATCTCTTAATATCGCGGAATATATGTTCTTGTCAGTGTATCTTTAAACTAGAACGTAATTTTAAAAGATTGTGATGATTTTTCTCATTTAAATATATGGGTTATGAAGATAAAATTATGATGAGGTCACTCTGTATTAAAGTAAGGTGCCAGGTCTAGTGATCACAAGAAAATGCAAAGTATTGGTAACATTGGCATGTGACGCAAAAATGTCATTAGTTGCAATAATACTACTATGAATAAGTTGAGTTTGTAGTTTTATTCAACTGCACGTGACATTACAACGCTTGAAAATACTTAATTATATCAATTTTCCTTTCTTTTTAGACTGGAAATGATCGGTACTGTTTCGTGGAGTTTACAGATCACCAGGCGGCAGCAGCGGCGCTCCTAGCGATGAATAAAAGGCATTGTTTAGGAAGGGTATGTAATATCTTGTATGTTTGTTCGTCACTAAATTAAGCTTGTTTACTTTTAGGTTTATTATCTATTGAATCTTTGAATTTGTTTCACTTTAGCTTGAAGGTTTCTATAGTGGAGTTCCTACGTTACTATTGTTTTTAACTACTTCTATATTTACTTAAAGAAATCACAATTTATTACTTAAAAACAAGTATTAGTTCATTTTCAGATGAAACAGATTTTCGTTGCTTTCCTCCGTTTTGTGAAAAACTAGAAATTGGCGCTATTTTTTTAAGATACCTTAATGTATTGTAAGTAAAAGTCTCGTATAGTTAACGTTAACACTTTGTTTCACTGTCCCATTTCTTCGTTTAGGTGTTAGAAAGGATGGATAAATTATTCCATAATCTTAATACTAGAAATAAGCGACCTTATAACACCAAAGTGTTATTATTATTTAATTAGACACTCAACTTTTCGCTTTGCAGCTTCTTCAGGAGCGTTCACTAAAACACAAACCAAAACTGACAGTACAAAGCTTCAAATATTAATATTAATTAACTTGCAACTTGTGAATTAGTGTCAGCAAATTGCGATGGCTTAACGTTGACTTCTGATTTGTAATTGCCAAATTTACACGAATTATTAAGTACTATTCAGCGTCAGTTACACAATGTTAATTGCCATCGGTAGTGAAAACATTGTTCTAGTTAGTCGTGTTGAGGAAGGAATAATACTTGAGAGCTCGGAAGATGCAAATCTAAAGTCATCAGATTTCGGAGGTGTTATTAATATATGTTCTAGAGCTGCCGTTTTTAGGATTTGCCCAGTTTTAAGAACACATGCACTAAAATTTTGGCTGTGTAGAACTACCATTTGTGTGATTGTGCTTCAGCTAAAATGTTCCAGTATATGCAAAGAAATGTGTACTGAAATTAAGTGAACTTTGACATTAGTGTGGATTTGTTGAAACGCTATGAGCATCTTTGTTGCATTGTTTGTTAGCGTACGTTATTTGCAGATTTTTGAAAAACCTAAAATTAATGTATTTTGTGTCGTGAAAATTCTACAGTGTAAATATTACATTGTATCTATCACGTTTAATAAATTATTTTTTCGGTGCGATGACGCACAAAAATTCATCATGTTCAAAGGAAATATGGCTTGGTATGAAAGGCACACTTGTGTTGATGCTCTCGGGGATATACGACAATGTTACAGGTAAGGTGAAGATTTGTTTCGACACTAAGTCACGTAATTTATTATATAGTGGCTTCTTTATTAGACCAAGCTTCTGTAGCATTCATATGCAAATATCAAAATTTGGCTGAAGAAGGTTTAATAGTCACTAACGTAGTTTCGAGGAAGTGAGCAGAGCCTTAAGTACCCCAGGCACAAAATAAAGCGAAGAAGAAAGGATTACATTCCGGGAAGGAGAAGTGGGGTGAGAGGGATAATCGAAAAACTCGTCATAAGAAACGCTTGATTACATAAATGCAGTTACAACGGACTGCAGATTGTGGAGCTTTTTAATGATTCTCGGTCGTCGATGGCGACACACTACACGCCCTCATCTTTTACGTAGCGATACAGTTATGAAAGCTTGATAAAAAAAAGAAAAAAAATGGGGGGGGGGTCACAGTTTATGGTATCATTACGTTGCTTACACATAACATGTTTCACTAAAGTAGAAAGTAGAGTACTGTGTTACAACCGAATTTTCCTGTCAGCGTAGTCTTATCTTGTATTTGGTATTCGAAATGAAAATTAATGAAATTTTCATACCATACCAGGTACAAGGTAATAGATTAGAAAATGTGCAGCGTTTGTAGCTATTGGGATTATTTTTTATGAACATGGTAATAGTGGAAATAATATTATTTGTTTACTAAAAGTTTTACTTATGAATGATAGTTCCAGCCTTGTAAACGACTTATAAAATATTAACATCCACTGTAGCCCTTTCTAATTAGTTTGAAAGTGGCGAAATGCTTAAGACTCCATCAAATTCCTTTATCAGTAAAAAAAATAAATAAATAAAACCTTAGACCTTTGTTCCCGTTGAGGTAGAATTTAAAACTGTTGCTTTTATCGAATCATATGTGGCAATGAAAATTAGTTTCCAATGAAAACAAAAATATTGAGAAGCAGTAATACCGGTAGTTAGGATTTGAAACAACAACATGGGTTAAGACTAAATATATTATTGATAATTATGTGCCTCCTAATGTGTAGTTATTTAGATCAGTCTCTTAACAAATAAACCGGAATATTTATGACATAAGAGTTAAAAGTTGCAAATGTGTTTCGCCTGTTAATATTGCATCTCTAACCAAATTGTTTAAGCTTATTTTAATCTCTAAAAATTAGACAATTGCATATAATGGATAACATTCAAGGAAACTTGTATAAATACTTAAAATATATTAAAATATTCAAAAATCAACATTATATAATATACAATTAAAATTTTTGTTTAAAAGATCGATCAACGGTCGTAAAAAAGAACACGTTTCGACGTCCTGAGGATGACGTGAACTAGTCGAAACATATAGTGCCCTTTTTTACGACCGTTGATCGTTTTTTAGATAAACATTTTAATTGAATATTATATAATGTTGATCGTTGAATATTTTAATATATTGTAATTGTACATAATGCTAAATGTTTTATAGTTATTGAAAATAAATATTGTAGATATTTATTCTTTAGCAAGTTTGGGGGCGGGAAACGGTGACAATTAAGATACCGACTTTTTGCTTAGTACAAATTATGTTATTGTGAAGTAAAATTCTTTTGATAAATTCCTATCCGACACTGATATGCCCAATCTAAGCTTGCGTAAAAAAACTTCAGTATAAAGTAGTTTCCGCTTTGTGATATAGATGATAATGCATATGTGGAGGACGTAAGGAGAATGGTATTTGTGGTTTCGTGCAAGTACAAATTATGTTATTGTGAAGTAAAATTCTTTTGATAAATTCCTATCCGACACTGATATGCCCAATCTAAGCTTGCGTAAAAAAACTTCAGTATAAAGTAGTTTCCGCTTTGTGATATAGATGATAATGCATATGTGGAGGACGTAAGGAGAATGGTATTTGTGGTTTCGTGCAAGTATTTTGATATTTACATCGAAGTATCTAATATTTTGTATATCACATACATACATACATACATACATACATACATACATACATACATACATACATACATTGGGTAGCAGAAAGTGTATTAACTATAATATTTTGCAAAGTACAATAAAGAAACGTTATTACTGTCTTGTTTTCGATTTTTCTTTCTTATAGACTTGATCGGGTAGTTATCGTGAAATAATTTTGAAATTTGAAATTCACCAAGTCAGACAAGAATTTCGTTTAAAGATACGTAAGAGGAGTTTTGGAAATTTATTGCGAATATGTTGAAGGCAGGGGCGGTTTAAGGGTCAGACAGGACTGGGGCTAAATATTTCTAGCCTTTTATGATCGCAACTAAAAGACTAAGGTAAAAAAACCTTAAGATATGATTTACATTTCCAAGACTTGTGTACAAATTAATGAACAATGTTAGATGTTTTTTGAATAGGAAAAGTAGTGCTCTAACACAGAAAGAAACCACACACACACACAAACACTTAGATCACACCATTACTCACACAGTATACTTAACAGTTGTAGCAGAACACGTCATCTATGCTTGGTAAAACTACTGTCTTCCTGACCCTTTTTGTAGTAAAGTCTTTTATGATTAGTTTGGTGTCCAACGATTCTAACAAGTCATTTTCTATGCACAAGAGTGCCAATGCATTTAGCCTGTCTTAGCTCGTTGATCAAAGCGTGTTCTTTATCCTTTTTAGCGTCGAGAATAATCTTTCTCCCAGGCAATTGTTTGACATGAGGCACAGGTACATCCTTAATATTATCAGTACGTTTGGGAAAATTGATTTCATGGGTTGGTCGCATATCATTCTCAGCATAGGTTGTATTTTGGATTCTTACGGTTTTTCAATGAACCCTGGCTTGCAGAGGGCGGCAGATAGAAAAATGTCTTCCTCCATGCAACTCTCCAAGTACATAGGATACCTAGTAATCAGCATTTTGGCTGCATTGCTGAGGTCCTCTATAAGTATGGCTCTAAGTTTCGTAGAAACCCAAATTTGCAACTGACATTTTCATATGCCACTATTTTGTTGTCTAGTACAAGTGGCAGTTTGTCAATTATTGTTAAGAAAGTATGAACTTTACATTGAACAGAGGGTGAAAAATCACTGTCCTCAGTATCCCCTTCGTCCTAATGTGTATTTCTTTTCCTTAATTTTTCAACCTCATATGTCTTGCACCCTGACACTTGTTTACCCTTTTCCTCATATTTGGGACATTAATCTCTGCTATTCCTGCACCAATGTTTTGAGAGATTTTAGAAGATGAGAAGCTGTACTGATAGCCAGTCGGGAGTTTTGTAATGAATGACTTATCTTGTGAAACATATCCAGGATAACACTCTATAATTCCCTCATTATCCTTGTTTCTAGTTTTTCCAATTGTAGCAAAAGACATTTTGACTTTAGGCGCACTTGAGGCTTTTCAGAGTCATCGTTTGTAATGGAAGCGATTACTTGCATTATGGCCTTGTAACCCATTTTTAAGTCTAGCACTGCCCCTGAATGTGCACTCCATAATGTGTCTAACTTTTTTTTAGTTCGAATTTCTAGTTTTTCAAGCACATCGTGTAGGCGCTTTCACAGGCGAGTTGAAGCTGAGAAAAATACATAAAGCTTCTGCACAAAAGTAAGGAATGAACAACTTCAGTGCACAGTCCACAGTGCATTGTTTAACCAAATTGTGCAAATAAGCACAGCAGGGAACATAATCTGCTAGGGTTTTTTTCTCTTTGATCAATGCTTGCATCCAACAAATTTCCCACTCATTTTTGGATACATTGTCGTAAGACTGCTCATGGTAATCTTGAATTGGTATATCATGTTTTTCAAGGAGATTAATGAGAACTCTTGCAAGTCCTGT